AGGGAAGACGCTATCAAAATTCATTCATTGATTCATAATCAATTATCTGCACCAGTTTTCAATGCAATGGTTAAATATTTCTGGTACGCAACAAAATTTAATATCTCATAAATTCATATTTTTCAATGTAAACCAAGTGTGCTTTCCAGACGATGTAAGAAACGCAAAATGTTCGTGTAATAGTATGGGAATTATAAAATGTTCATACTGCCAGGTATATTTATACTTTGCATTCTTTTATGGCGCTTATCATCCTCGACATTGTAATGTTCTTTTGCAAAATATTAGTTATTAAAAATTGCAATGTTCGACGTTATATTTTATATTGAAATTTTCTGTGATATTTTAAATTAATAATTAGGATTACTATAAAAATGTAAAACACAGTATTCTATATAAAAAAAAAAAACAAGAAAACTTAAAAGAAAAAAAAAGAAAACAAAAGTAGAGATAATTATTATTTAGACAAAAATATTCTTTTCCTGGAAGGATTCGACCACTATCAGCTTCTGCATTACTGCTTGCAAATTTAAGAAAAGAAATATATCTTTGTAGTATATCTGTAGAAAATTAAAATATTAAATATCTCTGTAAGTAATGAGTATTGACGGAAATGCTTAGACACAGTCAAATTATATTTGCTTTAAAATCTACAGATCAAATTTCATTAAAATCGACGACCCAACAGCTGTGACCTCTCCTTGTCAGCTTTAAGATCGTGACTCAATATGTACAATGACGTTCAACCCTGTCTCGTACTCTCTCTAAACGTCCCAGCAGTAAACAGAAACTCTCGACCGGAATCTGCTTTACCCGCAGAAAAATTAACGAGACCTTCCTAACTGTAATCGTGTAACAGCTATTTTGTGCACGTAAAAAATTACGTAACTATCCTTTTGCTTATACCGCCGTTAACTTGGATTTCAGTAGTCCAGGTTGGAAAATTTTTGTATCGTTTTGTAGAAAACGATCTGTACGCACCATTGTAGAAAGTTATTAACCTCTTGCTCTGAAATCACGTGTCATGCACGTCGAGAATATTTGGCCTAAAATTTCAATATTTTTTCATTTTTAGGTATATTGAAATATAACCCAGGCAAAACAAACAATAAATTTATTACTTCTTCGTCATTTCTATCCAGTGATGTACCAATGAATTTAAAAAGGAAACGAATTGTTGTATACGGTTCGGTCACTTGTTATGGTCCGCAATCAATTACCAGCGCAAAAGAGGTTAAGCGCACTTCGAGAATATTCGGCTCAAAGTTGCAATACTTTCTCAGTTTTAAATATATTGAAATATAACCCAGGCAAAAGAAACAATAAATTTGTTACTTCTTAGTCATTTCTATCCAGTGATGTACCGATGAATTTAAAAAGGAAACGAATTGTTGTATACGGTTCGGTCACTCGTTATGGTCCGCAATCAATTACCAGCGCAAAAGAGGTTAAGCGCACTTTGAGAATATTCGGCCCAAAGTTGCAATACTTTCTCAGTTTTAAATATATTGAAATATAACCCAGGCAAAAGAAACAATAAATTTGTTACTTCTTAGTCATTTCTATCCAGTGATGTACCGATGAATTTAAAAAGGAAACGAATTGTTGTATACGGTTCGGTCACTCGTTATGGTCCGCGAACCAATTACTAGCGCAAGAGTGTTAATACAGTGTTAACACGTTCAAGATAGAGCCGAACGTGTGTTTTATATTAATCAAAATCAAGTATATTTATTAGATACGCGTCCGACAACGGCTAAACGAATATTGCAAGTATCGGTCCACATGGACACTCACACCGCCTCGAACGTGTGAAAAGCCTCAGCGTAACCCCGATTTGAATCCAACACGCAAGTATAACCGTTAATCCGTCGAAAACCTGAAGCGACGCGTGACCTTGACGCGTGACCTTGAAAATTAAAGACCCGAGAGAAAACAAACGGAAAGCGGAAACTTTGGGTCTGCTACGCGACGCTGCAATGTATGTAACACGTATAGTCTGTGCTGCTCTCGTAGACAGAGAGAAAACGGCGATAGTTTCGAGCGATCCGTGATTATGGATCAATGCGTCGTCGTTCCTGCCAGAGGTCGCGCCACGGAAGGTCTTCGTGGCTGACGCGCGCTTACCAAACACGTCGTACGTAATCGTCGACGTTTCTCCAACTCTCGACTCTTGAGTCGAGTTAATCTTTATTCTAACCTCGATCGAGAATAATCTTTCTTTTTTTTTTTTTTTTTTTTTTTTTTGTTTTTTGGAAAAGTTTCCCGCGCTTTTTTGTTTTTTTAAAAAAAAAAAA